AAGGAAGAAGAAGAAGAAGAAGAAGGAAAAAGAAGCTAATGTTAGACAGAACCAGCACATGTCAATGTGATCTAAATGCAGAAGTCCATTTACCGGAGATAACTGTAAGAGAGAGAGGGAGAGGAAGAGGGCGGAGAGGCAGAGGTGTTGGAGATGCTGTCAGGGCAAGGAAAGGCAGAGGACCTGCCTAGAGTGATGGCTCAATAGATGACGAAGAAAGAGTGGAAGCCCTCTAAAAGAACCCAAGGGCTGTTACCGAGGTTTGTATTTATAAGGTTATTGTAACGTTATTATATTCTGACCTGTTTGCACTTTATGACAAACCCCAGCACACAGTGATAACGTTATTTACATAGCAGCATCTGTGCACATGTACCCCTGGTACTGTAACGTTAGATAATAGTATCATTTACTGGCAACAATGATTATATGAAGCCATATTATACAAGTTGAACACTGGCCAGCCTGCAAACCCTAATATGCAGTACCATGTTGCCAATATAATGTCATGCAACTTATAAAGCCTTATTTTATCAGAAGCACAAATTCTTTATTGATACCCAAGGGGAAATTCTTGGTCACAATTGCTAAGCTTGCATGTCAATTAAATATAAAAATTACTAAATCTAAATCTAAATAAAGGTAATGTGGACATGTAAAGTAATTTACAGCATCAACAGAAGTGTAATGATAAATAGTAGTAGTGCATTAAATAGTAATAGTAATTATGAGTACCGGTATATTTCATTTGGAATGGATACAATCTTAAAATCAACATCGAGAGTAACCAGAATATTGAAGCAGAGAATATTGCATATTGAGTATTTTTCCCTGTGTCCTCTTTCTTCAGACTTCTTCAAGAGATGACCCTTGAAGAATACAGAGCTCTCCACCCTTCTGCTGGAGAGGTAGCCAGGCCTGGTCTTTGATGCCTTGATGATGCATCAGCGCAGACATGGTGCCCCACCTTCTGCCGGAGTGCCAGGAGTACCTTTGTGTACTTGTGGTAACTGTAGGAAAATGCTGTGGCCCGGAGCAAACGAACTGTGTGAGCCTACTGCTACACGTCTCCCAGTACTGCCTTGAAGAAGGCTTTATTCGCATTCACAGGCAGTACCGGTAGGACATTACAGCATTAGGCAACATCAGGGAGCCTGGGGATGACAACAGGGAGTACCGCTATGGTGCCTATAGACACTTCAGCTATTGGCAACATGGAGCTTTAGGCCAGGGAAACCAACTTGTCGTCCCTAGTTGTTGTGTTGGGAGGATTAGAGACAAGTTCCCTGATCCTCAAGGACACTACACGGGTTTTATTCCTGGACTGTGAATTTCCTTCCAGGCCCTCTGGCATGGTCATACAGTTTCACACAAATACTCACAAACCTGCCTCAGCATCATCAAGGCATCAAACAAATGTACATAGTTAACATTTGATTTATTATTACATTTCTATATATATTTATTCATATTTCTCCCCTCTTTATTTAAATTTGATGTATGCTTTTTAGTTATATAGTGTTATAGTTGTTCAACTGCAGTTCTATGGTATCGAAAAAATAAAAAGGTAACAAATAGAAGCACATGGTGTTTTTATTTTCATTATATACATTTGAACATGTGTTTAGAATTTCAAACTTTGCCATGACATTTCCAATTCCAGTTAGTTTAGTTATTTATATTTACATAATAGGGGACAGCTGTAGCCTTACTTATCATTACTGTTCAAATTGTAAACTGTAATTTAGGCTACCTACTGAAAATAATATGCGCTGGTCACAGTGGACTTAGCAGAATAAGATGAAATGTGTACAAATTGGAAAAACATGAAATAACCACTGGAGGAGGGTAGGAACAGAATTTAATGTTAATAAATTTCTCTTTTTGAAGAGTAAAAGCTATGACTTTGTCAGTGAAGTACCAGGACACATGCAAGGTGATCTCCTGTGGGGATCCTTCCACATCAGATGCTGGTTGGAATAACGGTCCTGTTGAAGACAGTGCCATCAAACATAGTTACAGACTATATTGTAATGTAAATATTATTCATTGACATGTAATATGGTACAACATAGGCAACAAATTTATGTAACTTACCTAGACCTCTTCTGATTTGTCTCTGTAACAAGTCTGATGTGGCTGGTGCAGGTACGGGGAGCACCAAACCAAGCTGTCTGGGGTCATCTGGGAGAAGGCTCCTCCTTCTAGGCATCCCCACTCCACTTGTGAGTCTGTTCTTCACAATCCTTCTTTGTAACTTGTAAATGTATCCGTAGGTTTTTTCAGATTTCAAGGCATATACGCTGTATCTTCTAGCGTTCTTCTTATACAATCTTTTGAAACTGAAATTACACAAATTACAACCATTTAATATCAGTTTGTAAGTAGAACAAGAGAAAACCTTGAGTGTAAAGACAATCAATTGCATATAAAACATGGGCTGAATATTGTACTATGAATGGGAATATTATAAAGTAAAACGTACATCTCTTTGCCGTCCAACATTTTCATTGTTGGTCGGTTCCGGTGGAAATTGTAGTCCAAAGCAGCAAGCAGAACTCTTGCCTCATAAACTGGAAAGCATAGCGCTTGCTGGCATACATCAGGATATGATTCTGGAATGACTCTAGGTCTGCAGTCGATCTGATAGAACAAACAAACAAACAAATACATACTTCTGTGTACATGAGCAGTAAGCATAAATATTACTAATATACATCAGTGTGAAAAAGTATAGCCACACTACCACACAGATAGTTGTGAACATCTTTCTGCTACCTCTTATCGAGAACTATATCCACTAAAGCTTTGTGACACTGGGAGTCTCTCTGGATCCACATCTTTCCCCGCATTTGATCCAATTCAAGGTGCCCGTGTTTGCAACTTCCCATAGTCCAGGTGTGAATGTTGCAGACATGGTGAAGGATGCCAACCCATAATGCCTGCAAGACATAAAAATGCACTATAAATATGTCCTTAATATAGCAATTAATGAAATTACTCAAAGATATAATAAAATTGTGTGCTTACAAGAAACTGCCCACGTGTGTCGGCAGTCCACCGAAAATGGTTGACTATGTCCTTCAGCAAGTTGAAGAGGATGGACTCTCCTTTTATCTTTGCTGCCTTGAAAAGAGAAAAATAAATATTACTGTAAAATACAGGCATTCAACTATAGTCTGTGTGTAGAGGTGAAAGTATAAATGTTCAACACTAAATGACTACACCAAATGTCTAGAATTAGTAACACATCTTCTGGCAGAGGAAAGTAAACCAAATCTGTTGTCTTTGAGTGCAATGAAAACTTCCATACCGTCATCCATCAACTGCACATAGTTCAATGACCCTGATTCTTCGCACCATGCCATATGTCCAGACTATGATGAATTCCAAGGGCCTTGTATTTGCCTTTGTCTGGGTCTATGAAGTGGTAAATAATGTCATGTTACTATAATATTTATATTGCTGTTATACACATGCATCCATACAATATATCACATGAATACTTACTAATAAGGGCACCAATCTGGGCATGAGCATATGTGCAGATCTCCACTAGCTTTATTTCTGATGTAAGCTTGTCCAGTCTGGATGAAACCCTCCTTCTCCATGACGACAGTTCCATGATGTTTGCCGCTTGTCTATGGTGGCAACATGAATGATCTCCTTGGTGTCATTCTCCATGGTGGTGTAGCTGCAGTATTGTGCACAGTGACCAGGAGAGTCATTTCTGCCATCCGTTGAATTTTTTTAAAATATAATTCAACAGAAAAACAGTTATTAGTTGTTTCCATACTGTCATTGCTTAGTGTATTAAATAGCTATGTTACATAATACAGTATCAACTACACACCTAGGACAACAACATCTTTCCCTTGAAGGCCACAAAGAACCTCTGTCCTTCTCTCTTCCCAGAAGTCCTTTATTGTATTGACGCAGTAAGTGTCCTGAATGGAGAAGAAAGTGTTCCTGTTCACCATCCCCGTGTTCATGAATTTGAACAAGAGGGCAACCTTTGTGTAGTTGTTGCCAGACAACAAAATACTGGTGGACGAGAGAAAATCTCCAGCTTGCATCCCAAACTTCGTCACAGGCTGGGAATTCCACCTCTACAAGCTGTGTCCATTAGGACAGATCTAAAAGTCACAGAGAAGAAACATTTGCTTTTGTCATGTACAGCACTGGCTTTTGGTATAACCTTTCATTTTATACTAATTTAAAGTTGTGATATTCTGTGATTGTCTGGACTTACCCATTCGATAGTAGCTGCTGTGCCCTTGGTGGTGATGTTGATCTCAAAGGGTGCAACAGAGTTGCACAGCACACCAGTCCTCAGAAGGCCAGTGCATTTATTCACAGGCAGGATCAGAAATGTAGCCAGTTGTCTTAAGCAGTTCTTGTGCACTATGGAGGCTCTGACACCTATGATGTCATCTTCACAAAGGACATTCTGTGGTTCTGGGAAAACAGGGTCATGATCACAGGGAGAAGGCTCATCAGGAGCGTCTTCATGTGCAGGCAAGGAAGTCTATCGATAGAGTGTGCTTTCTTCAGTGCTCCACCCATTCTATTGAGGCACACAAAAATCTGTAGTAAACAAACACCACAAAACAACTGCAAATTGAGACTGACAAATAACACACCGTATAGAAATCGGTGGAAGATCCTCTTCATCAGAGCTGAAACCATTCTGTCCATCATCTCTTTCAAGGGAGTAAGATGAAGCTTTATCTGCCCAATCAATTCTTTACATAATGACAACTTTCAGAAAAAAACAAGTTCTCAACTAATATCACTGAAAAATAATACATGTAATTAGGAAGTACTACTTACACACTGTTCATTGGGTCATTGAAAACATTTTCCTCCAAGTCCTCCTCAACAATGCCCATGTCATGTAAGCTGCAAAAAACATGTTACAAATATATATTATGAACATTTGGAGAAAAGCAATACAGGGCTAAAAGTTATGATGTGTACATGTTACCTTTGTTCAAGCCCCCTGAATTTCTGTGGCTTCTGGAATGACATCAAGATGTGCATCTCTGTAAAGAATAACCAGAGCAAGTTGTGTAAATCCCACATATGCTCATTCAACAGTAGATATAGACCAAAAATAAAATAACACACTATTACACACTAATCATAATGTTCATGTTTCTAATCAAAGCTATTAGGACAAAATTAATATATTGTTATGCATGACTTACCGGTCTGTTACACTAGAAGCACCAATGCTAGACGATGCTGAAGCTGGGACTTGCAAAGGTTTTCTCTTCAAGGGAGTCGATGTTGCAGGACCTGTCTCGTAGCTGGAGAAACAGCAGCAGCCTCAATAAATGAAGTGCTACATGACTGTAATACATTACTGTACTGTAATCCACAATGTGTTACATCTTAGTAGGGTTTGCTCATCTGGCCTAATAAATTGAACATCCCAAAAACTATCACATCTAGTGCAAGTATGATCACCGACAGACAACATGGAAAACGTAAGCCAAGAGTGTGTAAAAATGTCCCTGTTTCTGTACCACAGTCCATTATAAAACACATCATGGGTAAGTTTACAAAGCCATAGTCAGGTGAGGATCAAGGGTGCTCTACAATATAATATAACACAAATAATTACTGAGTGCCATAATTTGAGCATGTGGTAACCTTTGTATGCACCCTAGAAGCACAAACAAATACGTTGTTTCTAATGTAAATTCTGACAATAAGCATAATTAGTCACTTGATAGGCACACAGTGTTGTTATCGTAATGCTGTTAGCAGTAAAAATAAATGTTTTCCCCCAGGGCAGTAAACATTTAGCTTGCTAATCTGAGCCACCATGCTCCATGCAATGTTATGGTTTTTTAGCTAATTGTAATCATCAGCTGATTGTCTCACAAACACAAAAGACACATTTCTTTTCACTAAATGAAGCCAAAGTGCTGGAGAACAACCTTTGAAATAACAATCCAACTAACATTACATATTTCTTCTAACAGGGTAGTAAAAGTTTAGCTGGCTAATATGAGCTGTTAGCTGTAGGCTAACTTGCTGTTTTGCGGTCAATAATACTAATCAGCTGATTGTCTCACGAACGTAACCAGCACATTTCTCCCCATATAGCAAAGCCATAACACAGCGAGGGAGAAGAACCACATGAAACTATCCAACTACATATTTTACACCACTGACAAGGGAAAAGTCACTTCTCACGGTGTCTATGGCTAGCTTCTGGCTAATGCTAACATTATCAAACAACAGTTTTCATTTGCAATGCTAAAGTTGGAATACCTTACCTGTCCATCAGAAAACAGGCAACTTCGGTGTCGCTTTGAAAACATTTTTCCCTCATTAGACCCTTCTTCCATCTGGGAAAAGCCACACCGATGTTTAACCGTGATTTCTGCCTGCGTCGCTCCCGTTATAAATCTGGCTTCATCATGCTTTCGCTTCTTCGAAGCAGATTCACCCGCCTTCGGCTCATTTGCTAAATAATAGCTGCGGTCCTCCATTTGTCCAGAATTCCACTACTAATAAAGGAGAGCTTCTACTACTACCTAGTAGTTAGAAACGTACAACTTCTTCTTGCTCTTGCTCCTACTTCTTCTGCTGCTTCTTCTGTTGCTTCTCTTTCAAGGTAGTGACGAAAGCGCTGTTTGTTCACTGTAGGCTACAGTAGAAACATGATAACACAATATGTCGACCTCCACAGCAAGGGGTGCCTCGTGTATGTAGATATAAATAGCTCATTCTAAGGTAATAAAAACATAAGGGTTAATTATGCAAGGTCTTTATACAACACTGAAAACATAGTTATGGATATTATATTGCATTTCTGTCAATAGATCCTCATATATATTAGACACTGAACCTTTAACTAGTAACTATAGGCTATTTATGTTATATTAAGTTGTTGCAGTTAAACTGCCATCCTTTTAATTAACACCTAAAACACTGCTGAGGGTTCAACTGTGTGTACACGTTGTCACAGCCACGGTTTTCGTTCACTTTCGGTGTCATGCACCACCATGCACCTGGAACGCTTTGATGTGGGAAGTCGGAAGTTTCAACTGGGAAATATCCCAGTTCCAACCGGTCTTGAACGCAGCATAACTCCTTCTAAACTTTCTACCAATCATAACAATATTACAACGACAGCATATCCACACTGAAGATAGTATCAGTCATTGGCTGCTAGACCTGACTTAGTGGGCGGGCCACAACACGTTGATTGACAGTTAAAGAAGAGGAAGGAAAAAGCAATAACAACAGGTCTCCTTGGGGAAAGGCAAAAACAAATGTGGCTGTAGTATAGTGTATACTGGCTGTATGTATTTATTCTTTTATTCATTCATTCTTTCTTTGATATATTTCTGCATTTATTTATTTATTCTTTTATTCATTCATTCTTTCTTTGATATATTTCCGCATTTATTTATTTATTCTTTTATTCATTCATTCTTTCTTGCATTTATTTCCCCATTTATTTATTTATTCTTTCATTCAGTTCTGTCACTTTGGATGTTCCATACAAACTGTTTATTTTTCGTAATTTTCACCTTTTCAGGCCACAAAAAAATTTTTAAATAAAAAAATTTGAGATTCTTTGAGTGAACTGCTCACAACGTACAAAGTGCTGTAATGGGGCATTCATGTGCTCACTAGTGGTCCCGTTTCCAGAGTTGGGAAGTCTTTCTTCTGACTTCAGTGTGTTCTGTGTTCTGTTTTAAGTCAGAATATGGAAATAACATAAAGATGTGTTGGATTAGCATTATCATTTTCATCCAACTCTGCTGAAACAGTTTGAAGTTTTCAATTACAAAGTTATTTTTGTCCCAGAGTTGTTACTGCACCAGTACACTACCTGAAACCATGAAAATACAAAATGCTGCTAATAAATAACTTTCCTAATTAATCTAATCCACTCTACACGGACAGCAAACTAACTGTTGTAACCTAATACCATATTACAAATGACACCTTAGCAAATGTATATGCAATATGTGATTTCGCACCATTATTTAAACGTTTTTTAACCATCGTGGCGGACCATGTTGTTTGCCATGTTTCTATGACGTCAACAACTCGGCAACTCGTGTAGCAAAATTTTCTCTAACTTTCCTAGTTGTTGTTCTGATTTCTGTGGGTGTTCACGTGAATTTTCCCATTCGAGAAATTATTTTTTCCGATCATTCCGACACCAAATGGAAGGCACAATAAAGAATCACCAGGAGACTGTCACATGCCCCAGTATTTTCCCTTATGTTTCCCACTTCCCTGTGTCTCCTGTGCTACTGTCTCTCTCTCTCTGTAAGTCTGTGGTGTGGGCGTGGCAATCCCTCTCCGACTCTCCTGGCTCCTGGATCCCTGCTGATTATGCACACCTGCTGTTTATCTACTCAACAAACCAGCAGTATTTCAACCCCAGCTCTTCACCTACTCTGTGCTGGATTGTTTGCTCAGCTTCAGTGGTAGTCAGAGCTTGTATCTCCACTGCAGTGTATTTCTGAATACTAGTCCTTGTGTTGATTCCTTGTTAATATTCTTTTCCCATGTGCCATAGTGGATCTTCTCCTGCCTGCCTGCCTATTATCATGCACCTTCGGCCTCAGTCCCAGTTATAGTGGATCGTTTCATGTATGCCCGTCTTCCCGCTTGCTGCTTGCTTGCTTGCCTGCTAACCCCCCAGCTAACCCCCTAAAGTAAACTCCAGTCACACATTCTCATCTGTCAAACTATTTGTTAATGCCTGGTGCTCCGAGGTCCCTGTATAGACAGTCAGCTGCACATCTAACTAGTTAACGGCAGCTACAGTCAGCAGAAGTAAACGATTCCTTCAGCAACAAGCTATCATCAGGAAACTCTGTAAATAACAAAGAAATTTTCTTCAGAAAATATTATCCTGTTTTACCAAAATCAGTGAATACCATATTTTTGTGCTGTAATCAGTGAGGTCAACTCAGTTACATAGTGCAAGAACAGGTGTTCGGGACACGAGTGGGAATGAAAGAAGCAACATTCTCCCTATAAGTCAGTGTAACTTCAAAATGAAAGTTATTTTAAGATAAAATAGTTGCATAATGTTGCTTATGTTATTTTACATAGTTGTCTCTGTTCTGGTATAAAACTTAAAATTTATTTGGTGGTATCATGGTATTATCAAGTACAGTGCACAGATTTAACATCATTATCAACCTGATAAATTGTCATGGCAGCGCCCTGAGGTTAAAATAAATTTAGGTATAGTTATTGTTGATTTGAACCTGAGGTTAAGATGTGACTTGTGTTTTACTTTTCTCTTTTATACTGTTTCAGGCCTAAGTGCAGTAAGTTGAAGATGACATTTGTGAGTAAGAATGTGTGTGCATCAGGGAAAAAATAGGGGCTAAATTACCTTGAGCTAAAGTCTGATGCACTGTATATTTACAGTATACACACCTGCAGACACATCTAACCACACATCCATCTACAAAGGCTAGACCAAGCAGAAGTATTTATAAAGCAGTAGAATGTGTTTCTTGTCTTTATTAGTGGCTGTGGCACCCAATCTGGGGACCTTGTGACAGTGATGGAGCAGTCCATCTCAGCCAGATTGTATAGAGTGGGTGGTGGGGGGCTGACCTATATCCTGAAGAGAGATTCATTTCATTACAGAGAAAGAGAGAGAATAAGAATCGGGAGGGGAGGATTTTATAACAGGACCCCAGAGCAGAAACCTGTCCCCATGGTGACACATATGCGCGTGCGTACACACACTTGAGCATAGACACTTTCTTCCTCTGTGTGGTGTACAAATAGAGAGCACAATCATTACATACAAGCAACACTCTTTTGCTGTCTCTCATCTTTGAGCACACACATGCAAATGCATACATGCACTCCATACAGTGCTGACCTTATTTTCTTATTTGTTCCACTTTATATCATATACAGTTGCTATTGCTTGTTTCGGCCTGACACAACCATTTCCACCGCAGATATCGGATTAAAAAGATGAACTTCGTCACAAAGTTACGCTCAGTGCCCAGTACACCTAGTAAGCTAGTTTACAGCTAGTTTACTGAGTGTAGAAGCAGCAGCTGTTTCTGTGGTGCAACTTTTAGTTTGTTGATTTCACCTAAACATGTAATATATATTTTATTGATGATACCAAGCAAAAAAGGCAAAAGGAAAAGTCTTAAAAAAGATTCCTTTAATAAAATTGAAATATTTGATAACAAATGACAAAAGTAGGTCATCCTAATTTAATTTAAACTAGAAAAAAGATACAAAAATTAGGGCCCAAAGTCAAAGGAGGTCAACTGAGCAATCAAGAAAAGCTCCTAACTAAACGAACCTACCTTTCCAAAACACAAGCAGGTTGTATACACCCATCGACTAGCCACACAAGATATACAAACATAAACAACCTATCAAAAGAGTATCTACAAAGAAAGAATGTTCTTCCAGAAAAACAGTTATTAGTAACAACTGTGCTTTTCCTATTGTGCCAAGTTAACTTGTCTGCTGCGAAAAACGGATTTGCATTCAGTGTGAGCAACACACTGACAGCTTCTCATTGATATAATGTATACTGTTCTTCCTGTTTCATTTCAAATCATCAATTATATGGTATTTTATTTTGTTCATTTTTTCAAGTGTGTGTTTTACAGACATCTGACAGTTTGTGAATTTTGCAAAGCACACACCATTAGCACAGCACGAATTGTGCACAGTGTGGATGTCCTCCAGGTAATACTACGTTCCCAGACTGGCTCTCAGGCTGGACAGTATCTTCTTCCTGATGTCACTGTCAGCTGGGATCACGACATCTATCACAACTGCCCTTTTCTGCTCTTAGTTAACCACCACAATGTCTGGTTGGTTAGCCAGTAGCTGCTTGTCAGTCTGAAACTTGAACCCATACTCAGCACAGATCCTATACACTATCCCTATATTTTTAGCTACTTACGCATTCAGTTGGTCCGCAATTGTCTGCTTTTCCTTGCTTTTTTATTTTATAGCACCATGTTTAATTTTTTACTTATTCTATGCTTTTATTCCTCATAAATGTCCCTTGCTAGCTGTTGCTCACTGTGTGTAAAGCATGCAGCGTACATCTTGTCCATTTCAGCATCAGAAAATCTTTGATCGACTTCTTAAGGAAGTCTGTGAATGTACATTTATCTAAAATACCTACACCTGGCTTCACCTAGTCACACCTCCTCAATCTGGCTTGGCCAACATCAAACACATGAAGGCAGGATGCTCTGACTAGACTAGGTCAAGCCTCGCCTTTTCAGTTTTCCTGGATTTGTGAATTCTGCTTTTGGGAAACAGCCGGTGATATCTGAGGTTATAAGTTAGCCATTTATGTTGCATTAATGTCATTGTTTGCTGCAACATTAATGACACACATGCATTTTCTAAACAGCCTGTTGATCAGAATGTCTTTTTTTAGAGAAGAATTTACATTGATACATCTGAACATTGAAGTGTCAGAAATAGTTTAGATAATTAGATACAGATACAGATGGTGAAGAAAATGAAACATGGAGATTATCTGTTTGCTGCACTACCACTGGACTGCTGTTCTGTTCAGTCCAAAGTGTACAAATTGAAAAACCCATTATCCATTTAAGTGCAGGCAACAAATAAAGTAATAAACAAACAAATATATACACGCAGATTGAT